AAGGTTTTAATCGGGAGCTGAATTATCCACCAAGGTCCCATCCTCTCCAAAACAATCAGACCAGGTGATATAAACCAGTAAAAACACTAAATAAAGCAGTTTCATGTTAAAAATAAGTTTTTTGATGCTGTTTGGCATGTTGGAGACGAGCCACGCCCAGCACCTGCAAATGTGTGTTCACCCAATTTCAGATCCAGACCTTCAGGAGGTTTTTAGCAGGAGCTGAATTATTTGCAGAGGTCTCTTCCTCTTCAAACAAACTGACACAGTGATTTAAACCGGCAAAACACTGAATAAACCATTTTCATGTTAACAAAAAAAGTATTTTTCTTACGTTGCTTATTGTGGAAAAGCTTGTAACTACAGTGTCTGTCACAAAAACACGACTGTCCCTATATAGAGCCAGTGTTTGGTTTGTCTGTTCTGGTCTACTGTAGCAACATGGCAGTGCACCATAGCGAACTCTGTGGAGAAGGACCTGCTCCCTATGTAGATACAAATGGCTCAGTCATAGGTCCCCTTTTTATTATCTACCTTCTACCTCTTTCCTTTTCCTCCCCTCTTTTCTTCAGAAAATCTGACATTTAATTTCACTGCTACGCTGATGACACACAGTTCTATCTATGCAATCCACTAAGCCTACAAGCCTACTCCTCCTCTTCCCCCCAATTTCCTTGCTGAGTGTTTATTGGATATCAAATCTTGGCTCTTGTACAATGTCCTTAACAATGATAAATCTGAGGTACTCCTTGTAGGTTCTAAATGTGCTTTGACTAAACAGCACATTTTTTCCCTTACCATTGACAAATCCAAAGTCCATCTGTCCCCTCAGGTTAAGAGTCCGGGTGTCATCCTGGACAGTACATAGTCCTTGAGGCCCACATCAATAATGTTACTTGGTCTGCATAATTTCACCTATAATAAAATATTAATCGTCTTTGCCCATCACTTGCTTACAATACAACAATAACTAAGCCTCTCATGATACTATACAATTGAGCAATTAAAACTTTGGACAGGAAACCAATAAGAGAACATCATTGCCATGTTCTTCAGAAACTAAATATACTACGTTTTGATAAATTCATTAAATTTGCCAATTTTAAACTCATCCATAAATGCCTACATAATCAGGCTCCCCAGGTGCTCAGTGACCTTGTGGTTCCACTTATAGCTTCTGGCTCAGTAACATGTGGAGCGGCCAATGGGAATTGTAAGGTTCCCCTGCGAAAATCCTCATTTGGACAATCAGCTTTTTCTGTTCATGGAATTAACATTTGGAATTCTTTACCTTCAGAACTTAAACTGGATCCTGATTTCAATCACTTTAAACTCAAACTGAAACAGTTTTTGAAAAGGACTCAAGTCATGCAGTCACAAATAATTTGGAGCTTCCTATTCTATGGTGCTTATAATGTACTGTGTGTGTGTCATTGCGTCTGTACTTTTATTGTGTGTACTTTGCACTGTCACTTGTGTTTTTGTTGCTGAGTCGTTTGTATCTTAAGGCCCAGCTAGGGACGGGCATTGCAAATTAGCTCAGGCTATAAATGCTGTGGTGTGTGGCATTTATGTATGTTACATATTTGTCCCTATACAAATAAACATTAAATAAAATAAATATATATCCCGTATTGATTACTGCAATTCTGCTGTATTTGGGCTCTCTCTCAAGTGGCTTCATAAACTCCTTTTGGTCCAGAATTCAGCCACCCGTATCATTACTAGAACCCCCTCCACAGATCATATCACTCCTGTTCTCCAACACCTTCACTGGTTTCTTGTTAAATATCACATAGATCCTCTACTGCAATCCAACTCTCATCACCATTTGCCCACTTGTCTACCATGGTTTCTAGAGCCTTCAGCCATTCTGCCCCCCACCTCTGGAACTCTCTCCCACATTACATTCGCAATATTGACTCCCTTTCCACTTTCAAATCCCGTCTGAAAACACACCTTATCAAGCTGGTATATTCAGTCTGCTTTAATGGAGACACATCTAGAGATACATAGTTTTCACTGGACAAGAAATGAAAAACTGTCATCTGGAAAATAACTACAGTTGTCAGACAAATGTATGTAAGAATATTTACCTCTGAGATGTAGTGGAGTATAAATATTAAACTCTATAAAATGGAAATACTCAGGTAAAGTGCAAGTACCTCAGAGAGTAGTTACATTCCACCACTGATCATATGTATTCTCTTATAAATACAAACTAAATAAAATCAAGAGATATTTAATGAAAAAAGGGAGAGACCCCGAGTGAGACGTTGAGAGAGAAGTCAGTGGAAAGAAATTAAAGCTAACACGACAAATGGAGACAAAGAGATGGAGAGGGAGGGTGAGCACAGGAGTGGAAAAGTCAAAAGTGAGAGCGATGAAGAACAGGTGTGGGAGGAAAATTAAGGCTAAGACAGCAAATGGATGGAAGGAAAGAAAAGACGAGATGGAGGGGAGTGAGGGGAGGGGGAGGAGAAGCAGAAAAGTCAATCCTCCTACGGGTTGTGGAGGAGACGCTCAGGTTTAATTTGTTTTCAAGTTGCCGGGCAGGAGAATAGTTTCACTTTGTGTCTGTGTTTCTTCACCTGGGGCTCTATGGTTATAGTAAATGCTTCGTACAGATGCTACAACAGATTGACATCTTAATCTGCAGACATACATAACTATAAGAAAGTACTAAAAGTAAAAGTACTCATTAGGCAGTATGGCTCATTTCAGAATAATATATATTACTGCACTCTAACTATTAATGCATTAAAGTGTTCATCACTTGCAGCTAGAACTAGTTGCAGCTGGTAAATTTGGAGCTCATTTTAACTTCTTTCTTTAGTAGTAGTTTCTTCTATAATAACACATCATCATTTATTAGTTGTTTATATTTTATATTAACAATATGAATCAGCTGTGTAACTAAAAGTGTCTGATAAATGTAGTGCAGTAAAAAGTGCAATATTGCATCCAAAATGAAGTAAAGTAGATGTATAAAAATGCATAAAATGGAAAACTCAAGTAAAATGCAGGTACTTTGAAATTATACATAAAAGGAGGTATGTTCAAGAGTTCAAGAGAACAGCGTGTTCAGAGGAGATCATATTTGCTTTGTGTTTCAACCCACGCTACAAATGAAGGACTGCAGGTGTTTTTAAGTGTCTAAATTCTGAACTTAAAAGGCACCAAATGAATCACCATTCACGTTGCAGTAAAACCCACCTCTCTGTTTGATGCCCGACAAACAAAAAATGGCCGACAGTGTTCTAAATGATCCACATGCTCTGAAAACGTGCTGCGGCAATTTTTCAATGAGTTCATGATTCTTTGATTCTGTTTTAGATGCTTAAATGACCTCTGCAGGAGTTTCACTGCAAAGTTGGACTGATAAATTGGCTGGGCTGTTATTAGCTGATCACACATAAATGGATATTAACACTTACACGACCAGCCCAGTCACCAGGTCCACGGGGGGTGAAAGGGTATAGATGACCCTGGCCTAAGGCCAAAGCCATAAAAAGGTCTATGGTTGACACTTAAATGGGATCAAGAACAACAATTTTCTAGAACACATTTCTATGTGCTATCTGATACTCCAACCCCCACACAGGTATTGTGAAATGGTGCGGTCCACCTGACTACTTGGGTTAGATGCACTTTGCCAGAACTAAGTGCCGCTAATGTAAACATGTGAGGCCGACTGCAGCCTGATTAGCTGAGTCAGAATGCCTCATCAAAAATCAGGGACCACCAAAGGAAAAGTCAGGGTACAGAGAGAACATGAAAATGAAAGGAGTAGAAAGGCAATGGCCAAATATCCGACAAACAATTGTGAATTAGCAGCATATGACAGACAGAGCTCAAGGTGAGAAGTGAGTCAGAGTAATAAAACCTGCTGTGTCAACTCAGTTTTAAAGCTACGGTGAAGACACAGGTATCATAAACTAGAGGACCTAGGGCATGCATTGGTACCAACCAAGTAAACTAACTTGGGATCCAAATAATTCTCCAAAGTAACGCTAAATTTTGCAGAGGGAAAAAGAAACAATGCCATTTTTCAAAATAGTGTTTTAAATATTTCTGCATACTGGGGTCCCTAAACAGTCTTGGAATTACACAAATTGGGTATTACTGGAAAACTGAGTGTTGACTGGGATATACCCTTGACACTATCTCTGCTTTGCACACAATTTGACCAATATTTAATTAACATAGCCTCAAGATTGAATGGATAAAAGAAGGAAAAAATGATTTTAATCACTCCTGAGTTGCTCTTATGATTTAATACCCAAATACTCAGTCAATGTTTGATTGGACTTTTCTCTCATCATTCATTGGAGGGCATTTTTTAGGCCCAGGACACACATGTGACCACCTCTGCCTTTCAAAATAAGGTGTGGACATACAGTTGATACAAATACATGTGGAAATATAATTAATTGGACTATATTCACAGAAAGTACTAAACAAATGAAGAAGAAGAAGAAGAAGAAGAAGAAGAAAGAAATTCCATCAAGTTTAGCAAACTTGTTCACCTCATTGTTATGGATGCTGCACAGACATTTAGCGCTAGCTAGCTCAAATGATCGCAGCAGGATTCATGGGTAATGGCTTATCATTAATGTTGTGTACTGTAAATTTTTTTTTCATAAATAGGCCAATTTATCTTTGCTTGTTTATTGGATTCATGTTTATGTGTGTTTATGTAATAATTTTTGAAAAAACAACAACAACAACAACTACTACAAACAAACTTAAATTAAATTATTAAATAATAAATTGGCAGCCCCACTGCAGTAAGTCTGCGCCTGAGGACCCCCTAAGGGTCGCGGACCCCTTGTGGAAGATCTGGGCAGGAGAGTAATCCTCTCACACATCTGAATGGTGGCAGGAGAGTAGTAGTGATAGTGTATGCCATCTAATGAGTTAAAATAAATTGCAGTAAAGAAACACCAGCCTCTCCCTGTGTAATAGCCACAACCCCCTGACATAACACAGTCTCTCACCACTTGCAGCAGAGCCAGGTATCCTGCCCCGACGTTGTCGAAGTTGACCTTCACTTTGGTCCAGTAGTAGAGCGAGGTGTCGTTAACTGCCTCGCACTCGGACTTGTTGTTGATAACGGAGGACTCATACATGTGGCCTGTGCGGTTGACGCAGCGGCCAAACTTGCCGGCAAACAGGTTGACGCCCATGATGCTGAAGATGAGCCAGAAGATGAGACAGACCAGCAGCACGTTCATGATGGAGGGAATCGCCCCAATCAGAGCGTTCACCACCACCTGCACCGACACAAACAAGACGGCGTCACACACAAACACACACAGGTCAAACACAATAAATACTTGAGTATTTTCTTCTCATCTTACTTCTACATGGTACATGTATTTTTACATGGTACTGTGTAAAAAATTAGCACAATCTGTTACCAGGGGTAATGCAGAGCAGCAGAGCAACCTCTTATTGTTAAATTTTACATTAAAATTAATCAATCAAATCAATGCACCCTGCAGTTAAAACAATCTACTTAATTAAGCTGGCAGCAAAGACAAGCTGCAGAGATGGAGTCTCTGTAGCAGGAAAAAACCCTGCTCTACCCTGCCAACATGATGCGTCGTGTTCATGCCCCATGTTGTTTGGCTGTAAGGTGGTCTTAAAACTCAATCCGAGATGTCTAAATCAGTCTTTTTCTGATGTTGATGTTCCCACAAAGTCAAACATGTTCAGTAGTTTAGCAGAGTTTTAGTCTTGGCTTGTGCAAATACTGAAGTTCAAGGATGAAAACACTGTCAACAACAAATAACTGTACTCACACAGTCTTTTAAGAATCTTCAGTCAATGGCAGACATAAATACCACTACTTTATATCACATCATTAGTCTGTTAACATAGACTTGCTGACTCTGCTGCTCTTAATCTCTATTGTCCCTTCACCTTGCAATGTTTTGCTTGGTATGTTTTTGTAAAGTTCCTGCTCTTTCAGCACAATAAAGATGTATTCTTATCTTATCTTATCATGTATATATATATATATATTTATATATATATATATATATAGATATAGCTATAGATATATATAGATATAGATATGATCCAGTGTGAAGTGAAACACAGTTCTAAAAGTCTCTAATATATTGCCAGATTGAGGCAGACTGGAGAATCTAGTGTTTTCTTATTTATCCTGAGTCCCTACTGTTTCCTTTGTACATCTCCGCATTAAAGGGAAACTTTGCAGATATATTTAACCAGGTCTGTGTCACTGCAGTGTGAGGAGTGTGTACAGATGAATGGTGTTTGACTTTCCTTGTGCCAGCAGTGCCAGGAACTCCCTGTGCGGGCTGTGAGCAAAAATCTGCCAGGTGACACAAAACATGTTTTTTCATCATCTATGATGGGTTTCATGTCATTTAGTAGATTTTGGCTGGTGGACGGGTGGGGAGTTCTGTGAGCTGGAGGCATGGAGAGAAGCCAAACACCGTTTATCTGCACACACAGACCCGGCTGGAAATCAGCAAAGTTCCTCTTTAACTAATGTGACACTCAACTCATATGGGAGGGACAGGAACTACAAAGTTTGAGCTTCAACGTGACATGTCATGTCAGATTTTAAAGTAAAGCAACTACAGCTTTTTAACATACTTAATCCTCATATAACATACAGAAACATAAATATTTATCTCCCGTCATATAAAAATGATGATGCTTTTATTTTACCATGAGACTGTACTTAAAGTTTTGATGCATTTTTGAGATTTAAGTTAAATTATGTTGGTCAGGATGATTTTTTTTGGTAAGGTGCATTAAAACTGAAAAAATCTGAAAATTAAATAATTTCAAAGTATAGACTCATAAGCCTCGACATGTTAGAACTTTAATCAAATATTCAAAATCTGAGTTAAGCCAACAAAACATTTTAGATGACACTTAGTTGTTGATGAAATACAATTATTCAACAACTATTAACTGTCTATTCTGTGATGTTTATGGGTCATCTCTTTTACATTTCTTTTTGCTCAATTAATACTGTGTAATTTAAATTTTCTATTTATTTCTGTACGTGTAGTGTGGAAACTAGATATTAAAAAAAAAGAAAAAGCTTTAGAATAAACTGGCCCAAGAAAACTTCCATCTTGATGTCTAAACATGTTGCTGACACCATCACTCCCATATGAACTGAATGAGGATATTTAGTGAAACCAGTGCTTCACTTTCTCCTTCTATCTAAAAAAAAACTCAGCAGCAGCAGCAGCAGCAGAAGAAGAGGAGTGATAGTGGACTTTCTTATTAACGGTTTATATTTTGGGGGGAAATCACCCTGCTTCCTGTTGGTGCTCAGAGTGAGAGCTGAGTCAGCTATGTCACTTCAACCTGCCTCTCTAGCCCTGTGGTGGTGAGCGAGCAGCATTTTGTAAATTGACACGAGAGCTAATCTTATTAGCCAGACAAAGAAGAGAGGATCATGGGAGAGTGAAAGCTCTGACTTCATTCCCAGCATGCACCACGTGAACCACAGCAGAATCTCACATGGACCAGAGTCAGCGTCCTGCACACCTTTTACATTTTACCTTAATTTTTTTTCTTGGCTGTGTTGAAACTGACTAGTTTGATTAAAAAATACTGATTGGACAGTTTGATAAAATAGAACATTGAAATGGCTGTCAATCATTTCATCAGTGAATAGTATTTTTACAGTGTGGTACTGGTACTTAATCAATACTGATTACAAAAAAGTTGGGATGCTGTGTAAAATGTAAATAAAACAGAATGCAATGATTTGCAAATCCTTTTTAAAATTTATATTCAATTGTATACAGTCCCACGACAATATATTTAATGTTTAAACTGATAAACTTTATTGTTTTCTCTAAATACACACTCATTCTGAATTTGATGCCTGCATTATGTTATAATAAAGTTGGGACAGGAGCATGTTTAGTGACATCACTTTTTCTTTTAACACTCAGTAAGTGTTTGGGAAGTGACACACTAACCGTTGACATTTTAAAGTGAAATTCACTCTCATTTTTGCATGATATACAACTAAGTTGTTCAGCAGTCTGGGGTCTCTGTTGTTGTATTTTATGCTTCATAATGCTCCATGTGCCTTCAGTGGGAGACAGATCTGGACTGCAGGCAGGTCAGTCTAGTACCTGAACTCTTTTACTACGAAGCCACGCTGTTGGAACACGTGCAGAAAGTGTCTAAGTGTAATAAACAGGGATGTTCCTGAAAAAAACGTCATCTGGATGGTAACATACATTGCTCCAGAACCTGTTTGTACCTTTCAGCATTCATGGTGCCTTCACAGTTGTGAAGTTATCCATAATGCCATGGGCACTAACACACCTCCATACCATCACAGTTGCTGGCTTTGAACTTTGAGGTGGAAACAGTCTAGATGGTCCTCTTCCTCTTTAGGGGACACAACATGATGGACTCTTCAAACCACAGCACTCCACTTTGTTTCAGATCATCCCAGATGAGGTTGGGCTCAGAGAAGTCTGCAGTGTTTCTGGATGTTGTTGATAAATGGCTTTTACTTTGCATGGTAACTTCTTGACTTGCATTTGTAGATGATGCAATGAACTGTGTTTACTGACGGTGGTTTTCCAAAGTGTTCCTGAGCCCATGTAGTTATAGCCTTTATACAATCATGTTCGTTTTTAATGCAGTGCAGCTGGAGGGGTCAAAAGTCACAGCCATTCAATGTTGGTTTCCAGCCTTCCCCCTTACGTGTTGAGATTTCTTCAGATTCTCTGAATCTTATGATGATATAATTGATTATGGATTGTGAAATCCATAAATTCTTTGTGATTGTACGTTGAGAAACTTTGTTCTTAAACTGTTGGACAATTTGCCCACACAGTTTTTCACAAAGTGCTGAACCTCACACCTTGTCTGGGAACAACTGAGCCTCTCAAGGATGCTCCTTTCATACCCAGTCATCATACTTTAATCTGTTGACTAGTTAACCTGTTTACCTGTGGCATATTTCAAACAGGTATTTTTTGAGCATTCCACAACCCAGTCTTTATTGAGACCTGTGGCAGGCGTCAAAATCAGGAATGTATATTAACAAAACAATAAACTTTATCAGTTTGAACATTAAATATCTTGTCTTGGTAATGTAAATGATCTGAGTACTTCTTCCACCACTGACAAAATTTGATCACTGACATTAATCATGTGGATTTAGATGTTGTGTTTTCAAAAACACATTTTCTCTCCTCCTCTGTCTCTCAGTGCAGGGTGAAGTTTGTGCAGGACACTGACTCTGTGATACTGTCAGTAATACTGATGAATGACAGAAACACAAACAGAGTGGAGGGTCCATGTTTCCTTTTTGGTCACAAAAGTTTATGGACATGCGCATTTTTAAATACTGATTCTTTAACATAAGAGAAACATGAGTTTGTTTTCTGAAAGAGAAAACCTCTGAGGAGGAGGAAAGTCAAACACTGACAGGAAGTAATGAGATGAACCAATCAGAAAGCAGAAAAGACTGAAACAACAGGTGAGATGTTAGAAGATAAAACACTGCAAAAACACACCTTTAAACACACCTGGGCAATAAAATACTCTCTGGTCTTACATTTATCATCTCTTATATCATGTAACATTTAATGTCAGTTATTAATATAACCTGAGTGTGTGAATGGATGATTTTATTCAGACAGATATTTATGAAGTCTTTTTACCACCTCCTCTGACAGAATGACACAAAATAACAAGAAGTTATAGAATTTAACAGCTAAGAATAGTAGAAATATTTGAGTCCTTGGTTTTATAATAAGCACAAAGCAGTGACCTCGTTCATTTGGAACTGCAGATGGAAAGAGAATGAAGCAGATACTCATTGTGTTGTTATTATGATCAAAGGAAACAACCCGTAACATGTAGAGAGAGAGCGAGAGAGAGATGGGTCTAAAAAGCATGCTGGGAAGTTAGCTAATATGATAATCATGTTTCTTTGGAAATTTAATTTGATGAGTTGAATGAACTCCTAGAAGTATAGCCATCCATGTTAATATGTTCTGAAATGAGTTTGAAAGTAATAATTACAATTTTTTAAAGTTAATTTGAAATCAATAAATCATACATATTTATGTTAATGGCAGTTGATTTCAGTAGAGGATACCTTCAGCATTTTTCAACCTGGAACCTATTTCCTTGTGTAAACTGATCGAAGAGACTGATGTGAACAACAGTTTTTGGCATTGTTCCAGAACTGAGTGAGCTCTAACTGAGTGAGCCTAGAAAGAAGGCAGACATATCTACACCTGATATCTCAGACACTCTACAACTCACATCAAAACAATCTAGACTGATAAATAGCACTACAAGTAAGAGGAAAAATAGGAATTTTTGATCTGGGGCTGAACTGTGACCATTATGCCCAGCGAGTAAGTTAGTGTACCTCTAGTGAGACATGACCATAGGAAACGATGAAGATGTTTAAAAAATAGCTAAACGGAACGAAATCAGTAATATAGTGAAAATAATTCCCTGTCCACATGTCAGGATGGATTCATCACTGCACAGCCTTGCTGTCTACAACACCTCCTTCGTTTCCAGCTATAATATTATGACCTCCTCCACCGTTGCCTCGTTTGTGGTTGTATGAAACTTTTGACTCCGCCCTTTATTGCCATCTACTGGTTATAATTATGCCAACATAAAGGACGCACAGAAGTATGTAAGCAGGAGCATTTACAATGTTTGCAATGGACAGATCTGTTTTCGTATTTAAAGGAAGAATAAATGAGCCTTAAGAGGAAAAATATGTATTTTAGATTTTGGGGTGAACCTTCTCTTTAACTACTTTTTTCTGATTATACTAAAACATTTTCTTTTACTATAACAGTTTGTTGTTTTTTTTTTTTCCTAACAGTGTATTACTAGTACTTTTACTTGAGTAAAGGATGCGAGTACTTCACCAATGCCCAGGTGTGTTTGTGTTACTAATACTGACTCTTACCCTCATGCCTTCAAATCTGGAGAGGGCTCTGAGGGGCCGCAGGGCCCGTAGCGTCCGCAGGGATTTGATGGCTGCAAAGTCTGAATAACCCAATGTATTGGCCACCAAACTGACCAATGAGACCTGGAGGAAAGACAGAGGTAGAAAGAGAGGAGGGACAGGATAGAAAAAAATACAGAGACAGATATATGAAGACAGACAGAAAGACAGGGGAAGGAGAAACAGAGGACAGAAGCAGGACAGTTAACCTCTAGTCTAATGAAAGACAGAGTGGGAGAGGACTGAGCCACGATGACGCCAGCCGATCAGAACTGTGGGGAGGCACAGGAGTGTTAGTTTGAATATCAGCTGACTGGCGAGTCCTGGAGGAGAGGAAGGAGACATGAATGAATTCAATAAAGTTAGTTTAGCATCAGCAAAGGGAAAGCACATCGCTGCTACTTCTTTTTTTTTTTAGATGATGTTTTTGATGACAGACTGAGACTTTGACTTGTGAAACAAATAATATTACCTCAGTTGAGGTAAGTTATTTTAATGTGTTAATATTCAGTTCATCTTCGATGTCCAAATAAACTGAATGTAGTCCTTTATTCAAACTGTGGAAGAGAAAAGGATTATTACTGTTTACTTGGTGAGAAATGAGGCTGACTGTGGAGTATTTAGAGCCAATAAAGATCAGTATAAATTTGTCCCGTGTTATGAAAGCCTTTGTAAAAGGTAAATACAACAGACTGTACTGTTATTCTTGGATGTTTGTTTAGCTGTGAAGTACTTAAGGTGCTTTTTAGGAAATATTTCTGCATGATTGCACTAAAACCTCATAATCCAAAAGTCAGTTAAAATATCTTGTAAACTTTGAGACTGCAACACAGCCTCGAAAACTTTAATGAAATTAATATAAAATCTTAATGACAGATTTTTCTCCAGTAGCAGAAAAACTGATTAAGCGCTAGCAGAGTTTTTTAAATGATAAATGTTGGAAGTATTCGGCACAGTCGCTAAAAGAACTGTTAGCATTTTACATTTCTGCAAACCCCAAATATGTTACATTTGACAGGTATCATGTCAATGTTTCTAAAGTGACATAGTATTTGAGCTGACTTTGTCATCTGGAGGTGGAGGGGATGGTTGACAGTGTGACACCTATAAGCAAGACAGCTGCCAAGTTACAGACCACTGTTTGAGACCAACAAACAACAAAAGCGGTTGTGATTTAGCAAGTAATTACCGTTTCCAGCTCTCCCAAATGTGGGTGTTTTTTAATGACCCAACACTGCATTTCCAACCAGGATAGAGCCATGAAAGAGTGGTTATTTTTTTTTACAGAGACACTGCCGCATCTCCTGCCAGGATAGTTCCATAAAAGCTTGGTATTTTAAGCCAAATCATGATCTTTTCCTTAACATAACCAAGTTTTTGTGTCTAAATCTAACTGAAATGTAAAGATAAGTTTTTAACGTATCCACTACACGCTAAGGTACAAATGTAACATATCCGTCGTTTGCAGAAATGTGCACTGCCAGCATTTATTTTGTTCTGGTTTATACAGATTGTGTTGATATATAACTTTAAGTTATGGTAAATATTTAGTGATATCAGGGATGATGAACCACAAAATATTCTACCTGTACTGAAACACTGTGATATATCCCTTCTACTTAAATCAAGATGACATCAAGTGTAACAAAGAAACCAGAGCATCTCTAACACCCTCTTCGCCCCACATGTATGTTTTATTTTTCACACTTGAGCAGCAGGTCTCAGGTTGGTTCTGTTGGGCGGAGCTCCGGGTAAGGTTCTGGTTCTTACCCTGATACCAGCAAAGCGGGACGCGGCCCGGAGAGGACGGAGAGCCCTGAGCATCCTCAGCACACGCATAGTGGTGATGTTGTCCATAGAGATGAACTGAGCCAGCAGACCCAACACTGAGATCTAAAGGGTCAAACATTTTTTAGACATTTTCAAAGTCTAACATACAGAATTAAAGTTCATAACGTACTTTGTCAAATATTACCATACCATAAATACTGTTCTTACTCTCCAATTCATCACAATAAGATTCATTTTTATGTCCTTTTGTTCACTGTTAAGCTTCTTTCAACTTCCTGCATATATTTCATAATAAAAGCCTATCAGTAAAGAGAATGGTTTATGCCTTTTAATGTAAAGCATCTATGAGGAGAGTGTTGAGTTTCATTGACAGTAGCTGCACACTAAACAAATGGTGATAGGAATAAATTAGTGAGTAAATACACTCACAGTATTTGAGGGGTGAGTATGACATGTTGTTGTAATGATAAAATCAATGCTGTGCAAGTGTACACCATGTTGAATTTATCAAGATGACAGGGAATAATGCAAATTAAAACAGGTGCAGATCAGAAACTCACAAAACTACCAAAGAATTTAAAAGGCCGGGTGAAAAAAAAAAAGTTTTAGCAATGTTGGCCAAAGTGTATCTCCTACGTAGGACATATTATCTCTTATGTACAAGATGTTATTTCCTACACAAGTGGGTGCTAACATCTCACTTGCTTGCTGAGTACACTGTGTATGTATGTGTTCATGGGAACCTAGATGTTGAGGGTGGGCAGTTCTTGTGCATATGAAATAAAATCCTACAGGCACCACTGCACAGTTCCATTATCGTTTAAAGCCTATATTTTTAGCTAGTTAACTGAGATGGTAAAACCTTTTCTTTATGCTGCATTTGGCTGAACAGTCAGTATGCTTTGTATCGCGCACTAAGCGTTTCATTCTGCACAGCTGTCCCACTCTTAAAAACTTAATCAAGCATATAAGTTTATCTTTTATATAGGAGATAACATCCCATATGTCACAGATAAACTTTTGGCCAATATTGCCTGTATTTTTTTTCCAACTTCCTCTCAGGGCTTTCGAAAGAACATTGAATCTTTTGAGTAAAATATAATTAAAAAGCTTATAGAACAGAAGAAATGAGAAATAAAAGTCTGTATCCAATATGAACCTGTTTGAAATAAAGACATTTTTTAAATATACAGTACAGGCCAAAAGTTTGGACACACCTTCTCATTCAATGCGTTTTCTTTATTTTCATGACTATTTACATTGTAGATTCTCACTGAAGGCATCAAAACTATGAATGAACACATGTGGAGTTATGTACTTAACAAAAAAAGGTGAAATAACTGAAAACATGTTTTATATTCTAGTTTCTTCAAAATAGCCACCCTTTGCTCTGATTACTGCTTTGCACACTCTTGGCATTCTCTCCATGAGCTTCAAGAGGTAGTCACCTGAAATGGTTTCCACTTCACAGGTGTGCCTTATCAGGGTTAATTAGTGGAATTTCTTGCTTTATCAATGGGGTTGGGACCATCAGTTGTGTTGTGCAGAAGTCAGGTTAATACACAGCCGACAGCCCTATTGGACAACTGTTAAAATTCATATTATGGCAAGAACCAATCAGCTAACTAAAGAAAAACGAGTGGCCATCATTACTTTAAGAAATGAAGGTCAGTCAGTCCGGAAAATTGCAAAAACTTTAAATGTGTCCTCAAGTGGAGTCGCAAAAACCATCAAGCGCTACAACCAAACTGGCACACATGAGGACCAACCCAGGAAAGGAAGACCAAGAGTCACCTCTGCTTCTGAGGATAAGTTCATCTGAGTCACCAGCCTCAGAAATCGCAAGTTAACAGCAGCTCAGATCAGAGACCAGATGAATGCCACACAGAGTTCTAGCAGCAGAGCCATCTCTAGAACAACTGTTAAGAGGAGACTGCGCCAATCAGGCCTTCATGGTCAAATAGCTGCTAGGAAACCACTGCTAAGGAGAGGCAACAAGCAGAAGAGATTTGTTTGGGCCAAGAAACACAAGGAATGGACATTAGACCAGTGGAAATCTGTGCTTTGGTCTGATGAGTCCAAATTTGAGATCTTTGGTTCCAACCGCCGTGTCTTTGTGAGACGCAGAAAAGGTGAACGGATGGATTCCACATGCCTGGTTCCCACTGTGAAGCATGGAGGAGGAGGTGTGATGGTGTGGGGGTGTTTTGCTGGTGACACTGTTGGGGATTTATTCAAAATTGAAGGCACACTGAACCAGCATGGCTACCACAGCATCCTGCAGCGACATGCCATCCCATCCGGTTTGCGTTTAGTTGGACGATCATTTATTTTTCAACAGGACAATGACCCCAAACACACCTCCAGGCTGTGTAAGGGCTATTTGACCAAGAAGGAGAGTGATGGAGTGCTGCGGCAGATGACCTGGCCTCCACAGTCAGCGGACCTGAACCCAATCCAGATGGTTTGGGGTGAGCTGGACCGCAGAGTGAAGGCAAAGGGGCCAACAAGTGCTAAACACCTCTGGGAACTCCTTCAAGACTGTTGGAAAACCATTTCAGGTGACTACCTCTTGAAGCTCATGGAGAGAATGCCAAGAGTGTGCAAAGCAGTAATCAGAGCAAAGGGTGGCTATTTTGAAGAAACTAGAATATAAAACATGTTTTCAGTTATTTCACCTTTTTTTGTTAAGTACATAACTCCACATGTGTTCATTCATAGTTTTGATGCCTTCAGTGAGAATCTACAATGTAAATAGTCATGAAAATAAAGAAAACGCACTGAATGAGAAGGTGTGTCCAAACTTTTGGCCTGTACTGTATATAAGGTAAATAAAAGATTTAAGTTATGTTTAGCATTAACTAGTTTATCAAGTTATGTTTAGCAGATGAATCTGGTGAAAGTTAGAGCCCTGAGAAGGTGCATTTCACAAGAAACAAGACAAATCAGAGAAAAGCCTGAGAGAAATAAAAAAAAATAAAAAAAAATGTCTAACAGAAATGTGTTTATCCTTTTTTTTTTAAATTCCATCATTTATATTCTTTGTCTTCTCTTTATTCCTTGTGTGTGACCTGCCCTGATCCTTGTGTGTCATAACCTGTCAACCTCCCTGAGTCCGTGTTTATTTGTCATCCCTGTGTTTCCTGTTTTATTTTGGTAACCAGTGACTTGTCTCGTTTCAGATCCCACATCCTGTCAAGTTTCCCTCCTTTGTGATCACTTGCCCCACCCTAATGTGTTTCACCTGGGTCTCATTGTCTCCCTTGTCTTACATTATCTAAGTCCCCATCTTTCTTCCTCTGTTACCAGATTGTCTTTACCTTCAAGTGAGAGGTCCAGCAGTTGTCCTAGTGTTTCTTGTAAGTTTGTCTTAGCCAACCTTTTTTTCCTGTCAATTTGGATACTTTTGCCTGTTACTGATCACCCTTGTACCGAACTGAGTCTGATTTAAAGAGCCAGAATGTTTATTCAAGTTTGCTTTGTGAGTCCTTCACCAGTTTTTTTCTTTTTTAAAAAAATGTCATTGTAAAGTTATCTTGTATGATACACAACAACTGTGATGTTGCACTTAAAGACAACATCAATGGAAAACTGCACTTTAAAATGTAACATTAACTCTGTTGAGTTAAGCACAGTGTTCAGTTTGTTCAATTTAAAGTGTTAAATTTAACAAGCAATTTGTTGTATTTTAGCAGTATATTGAAAGCAGACGATAACTTTAACTTTGACATCTCTTTATTTATTGCAAGTAATATAATTACTGCAATTCAACCAAATTAAAGCTGCTTTCACACTGCTGCGTAGTAACTGCCCTGACAACCGCTGACCTGCAAGGGGATTTCCCAAAAAAGCAAAGTGTTTTTTAAAGCCACCGCTACATACATACTAGCCTGCAGCTGCATACTGTAGAAAGACAATGGAAATCACTGAAACTACCAAAGATTTCTACACATTTGGACAATTTACCAGTCATCTGAAGTTCGGTGGAGACTTTATCCAAGGCCCAGTTTTTCTTGTGACTGTCCCCAAAAGTTGCTAGTGCTGTAACTCCAGATATTCAGACATCAACACTGTCAAAGCTTCCATCTTGTCTTCTTTCTGCTGTCATAATGCTCGCTATGTGATCTGCCAAAGCCAAGTGGCAACTGCCAGAAGTTCAACACAGTATACTTTGTACCGCAGAGCAAAATCTTTTCACGTGCACATGGGCAACAACCACTTCATACCCCTACCATTGTGTTGGAAACCATTTCCCCTCTGCCACCTAGTTACTGCAGGGCAGTGTGAAAGCAGCTTAATGCATGTTTTCCTCATATCATGCAGCTCTAGTCCCTACACCCCAAACTGAGAACCACTGATTTAGATGATCCAACACTGAGTCATTAGTCATAACAATCTGATTTTCTGGTGATGTGTGTTGTGGGCTTGTATTTGTTTTTCTGCCCTCTAGTGGCAAAAAGGAATGAATGCAGCTTTAAGTAAATTATGTGAGTCTTTCTTTACTATTAACACTGTGCTCTGTTTGTTGTCTCAGATCTGCATGTTAGACCTCTGTGACTCAACACATCTCTTTCTTCTCTCTCTTTAGGTCACTGCAGTCAAATAAAAATGTCACAACATGTAGTGTCATTTATGAAGACAGCCAGGAGGAAAACACCCAGAGAACCAGAGAGAGACTCAATGCATGCATATGTATGGTGTGTGCATCAGTCTACCTCTACTCTATAATCGTGCCTAGAAGAGTGAAAGAGAGAGTGTCCAAATATACACATCTTTATATGTGTGTGTGTGTGTATGTGNTGTGTGTGTGTGTGTGTGTGTGTGTGTGTGTGTGTGTGTGTGTGTGTGTGTGTGTGTGTGTGTGTGTGTGTGTGTGTGTGTCTGTGTGTGTGTGTGTATGTGCAGAGGTTAAAAAGCCACTGCTGATCATTTGGCCTGAAGCTGTTTAGACTTTCTCTCTCTCTCTGTTCCTCTTTGTCTTTCTTTGTCTCTCATGGCTTTTATTTATAGAGTTGCATTATGGCAGTGGAGAGAGACTCCGAGCAAGACAACTGCTGTAACACACACTACCTGAGATATGTATACATAGATTTCTTTTTAATAACTGTAATATGTGTCACACTACCATTGAACAGTTTGGAATCAGCTGTTAAACTGATGTCATTCTTCTTTTCCCTCAATTATGGCTACTTTAAAAGAGAGAAAAACATTCAAGTTCAGACACCAAATACATTTAAAATGGGTGCACTGAATTATGTTTATGCTAATCAAGCATTTTTTTAATTTTGATAAACTTTTATAGAGTAAATGTGTTTTATGTTCTGTTCTTGTGAATATGTTCATGTACATGTTGCATTATATGTTTAAGACATGTTGTCTGACAGATTTTTTTGTTATGATCTAAAAATTTTAGTCATTTAAATATCATCAATCATGGCAATAAAGTTGATTTGATTTGAGAATCTCGCTTTCTGTGTCTTTGTTCTTGAATTAAATGAGTTGTGAAGGAAAACCAAAAAATGGAATATAAGTAAAAAAAGGAAGGAAAACTCGAAAAATAGATTAATTATGGATTAATAATAGTGGAAGCATTAGAAATTATATTCCTTGTGAGCAATGTGAGGAAGGAAGTCAAATAATATTCAAGTCACCATAACATTAATATATAAATAAAATACATAAATAAAAAGGAGAACAAATAATCTCAGAAAATTATGTCAGCATATTGATCATTTTTAGGGATCAAGATTATGAAAAGTGATGTCATTTGTGTCAACTTTGACATCAATATCTTCACTGTCACCATGACAACCATCAGCGCTTTCCATATTCTACACTTGAAAATAGTTAAATGAAAATTTAAGTAAACCAGTGTAAAGTATAAAGAAACTTATAGTTAAGTAGATACACTTAAGTAAATCAAGTGAAGTAGAGGTAAGTAAGGCAAAATGATTAAGTATGCTAACTATGATAAATCACACTAAAATACTGTACTGTAAACTACAGTAAGGTATGAGGTAACAAGTAAAGTAGGTAAACTAAGGTAAAGTAAAGAAAAATAAAGTGAGGCAAAACTGAGTAAAGCAACATTATTAAGTAAACTTAAGTCAAGTTAACTTCGTAAATGACGATAAACAACAAAAAGTAAAGTCAGTAAACTAAGGTAAAGCACATCAAGTCAAGCTAACTACAGTAAATGAAACTACCACAAAGTAAAGTAAGAAAGGTAAACTATAGTAAAGAATTAAATAACTAAGTAACTGAACTATGGTCAAGTGAAGTTAGCAAACTACGGTAAATGAAATGATCATTATGTACAGTAAGTTTACAGTAGAGTATAAAGTAATAAATGAGTAAACGATGGTAAATAAATTAAGTAAACAACTACAAAGTTGTTAAGTAAATTAAGCAAGTTAATCTAGTAAACTACCATGTATTACATTTCTATAATGTAAAGTAAGTTAACTTCAGTTGAGTATAAATGAAAAAAATAGAGTAAATAAACTAAGGTAAAGTCAAGTAAACTACAGTAAACTAAGTAAGATTTAGCTGAGTAAAATTATTTAGGAAACAACAATAAAATAAAGCCAATTAAGTAAGCTGATAAAGTAAAGGACCATAAATTAAGTATTTAGATTATTAGTTCAAGTACTATACTAATCTGGTATACATAAATTGGTTGATTCAACTATTGCATTTTAACTTTCTCATCACCATCAGCACTGTTTTCTGTTCAATGAAAACTGTGAGCTCTAATTATCATCTTTGTCACTCTTGTATCCACATTATTGTCATCACACTGTTACATAATCCACAGGATTAAAATAATGACTATGGTCACAGTTATAACATCAACATTAACATTCAATTTCAGTTTTTAAAAGAACCAACCAAATAAACCATTCAACGGACCAATAAACCAACAAATCAACCATCAATCAACTAATCATTGACTTACATCAACAATGAGGAAGTCAAGCCAGCACCAGTAGTTGGTGAAGTACTTCTTGAAGCCATAGGCGAGCCACTTGAGCAACATCTCTAGGATGAAGATGTAGGTGAAGATCTTGTCTGCAAACTCCAGCACCACCTTGATCACCTTCCTCTGCTCAATGTAGATGTCCTCAAAGGCCTAAAGGGGGCAGCAGGGTGTGGAGCTTTAATAAACAGTGAACTAAATTAAAGTAAGTTAACTATAGTAAAGTGAATTATATTAAACCACAGAAAAGTGAGGTGAACTAAGGTAAAATAAAGTACAGTAAACAAAGTAAGGTTACATTATTGAGTAAGCGAAAGTAAACTATGGTAAATTAAATTAACATAGGTAAGTAAATTAAGTAAAGAATAATGTAACCTATAGTAAAGTTAAGCTGCCTGAGTTAACTAAGGTAAAGTACAGTAGTGATGAACAGTAAAGTACACCACATGAAATTAAACTAAAGCTAGTGACACAAACTACAATGAATTAAATAAAGTAAACCACAGTAAAGTACAATATGGTAAAAAAGTAAATTACAGTAAATTAAATAGAACAAATTACAGTTAATTAAATGAATTCAACTTCAGTAAAATTAAGTTAGTGAAGGACATTACAGTAAGTTAATCTCCTTAAATTTCCTAAACTACAACAAATAAAATAAAGTAAAACACCATTAAGTAAACTGTTTTTAGTATTTTATTTAGTATTTTATTTCTGTTTCTGTGCAGCACTTTGGAAACCTCCGTTTGTAAAATGTGCTATATAAATAAAGTGGATTGGATTGGATTAAAGTAAACATCGGGAAATAAAATAAACTACAGTAAATCAAATAAAGTAAACTATAGTAAAATAAAGTGAGTGAAGAATATTTCAGTAAATTAGTTTCCTTAAATTTCCTAAACTACCATTAATTAAATAATAAGAAAATCATCACAAAGTAAACTATGGTAAAAGTAAATTACAGTAAAATTCACAATTTATACAACAGTGAATTATATAAAGTTAACTGTAACAAATTTAATAAATTAAAATACCATTAATTAAATTAAGTTAACTACAGCAAGCCACTGTAAAAGGCAAATATGAGGAAATTTAATAGATAAGCTATGGTATATTAAAGTACACTAAAATAAATGGAACTACATTTAATGACATAAAGTAAACCACAATAAATTGAATAAAATAAACTACAGTTAATTTAATAAAGTAAACTGCAATAAACCACTGTAAAAAAAACAACATCAGTAAATCAAATAAAGTAAACTGCAGTTAACCACAGACAAAAAGCAAATATCCGTAAATTAAATTACTTACAGAAAACCACTCTAAAAAGCAAACATTAGTACATTAAATCAAATAAAGTCTACACTAGTTAATCCAATAAAGCATGCAGTTACTTCAATAAAGGAAACAACAGTACATCAAACAAACTACGGTAAACTACAGTAATTTTTGGAAAAAAGAAATTGATACTAAATTAAATAAACTATGATAAATTTACTAGAGTAAACCGGGTAAACTGTGAAAAAAGCAAACTACTCAATAAAAACTACAGTAAACTAAATAAACTACATTGAAAAAACAAAATTCTCTAAATTAATTAAACAACAGTAAACTTAATAAACTACAGCAAACTGCCGTAAAAATAAACTACTCTGAATAAAATAAACTACAGTAAACTAAATTAACAGTAAACTACAGTAAAAACAAACATATCTAAATAAAATAAACTATGTATAAAGTGTGTGTTTCTGACCAGAGCTCCGGAGCTTAGCAGAATCATAAAGATGATGAAGGTTTCAAACCAGCTGTGCTCTACAATCTGGTAACAAGTCTTCCTCAGTCTCCACCACATCTGACCAGGGCCTGCCGTTGTGTCGATGTCACAGCACTGAAACCTCGTCACGCACACTGTGGGTGAGAGACATTGACACAGAGGCAGAGAGAATTAAGTTGACCGTTGACACATTAAACTGACTTTTATGTCCATGGTGAGCATGTACGGTCCAGAACTGTTCACCAACCCAGCTCTGTAGAACTTCTTTCACATTGTTTTTACATTGTCATTGAAAAATCTATTATAGCTGCTTTAATGATAACTGTTCATCTCACATCAGTCACAATATTAAAAACTGCTAAAAAAAAAAAAAAAGGAAATCTGAAAACTGATTCATATTTCTGTTTACATTCCACCTCGACTCATTATAAGAATCCCATGTTCTGTACATTCTCCAAGTGAAGCCTCCTGGGTTTATTTATTTTTTGTAGTTAAACAACATGAGCTTGTGTGAGTCTCAGCCCAGTGCCTTGCTCCAGGACACGCTGGTATCAAACCACACACACACACACACACACACACACACACACACACACACACATACAGGGCGATGTCATGTCTGCTTTGTTGTTGCACAGATGACCCGCAGCATTAAGTGCTCTATCTAACCCTTTGGTTGATCTGTGTGTGTGTGTGTGTGTGTGTGTGTGTGTGTGTGTCTGTGTGTGTGTGTGAGAGAGAGAGACAGACAGACAGAGAGTTTCTTGCTTGTGTTGAGCTGCTAGTGCATGCAAACACATACTGTACAGTCTGTCTGTGTTTATACGCGTGCTGTCTTGCATAACCGCTGAATCTTTGACAGATGTTAAGTTTCTGCTTCCCCACAACTCTCCCTGTGTGTGTGAGTGTAATGCAGCATTCACATCAAATTCACATTTAATTTTTCCCAGCATTACTCATTGCAGGAAGGTGGACACAACTGTATCTATACTTAAACTCATGGTTTTACTTATTACTTATATAAGTATCATATCAGCCCAGTCGCCAGAAGAAAATGTTGGCATGGTACATTTTTGCAAACAACTGATTTGTTAAATTTGTGCAATTCATATGTATCAGTCTTTCTAATAAGACGTAGTATATGACCTGACTTTGTCATCAGGAGGTGGAGGAGATGGTGTGACACCTAGGAGAGATGCCTGCCAAGTTGCTGACCACTGCTCAAGACCAACAAACAAAACTGTTTATGTTTCAGCGAGTCATTGCTGTGTTTTCAGAGGCTTTTTAGGCACCAAATGTGGGTGTTTTGTAGCCACCAGTCACTGTTTTTCCAATGGCTACTGTGCCATAGAGTGCGATAGTTTTTTTATGGAGACATTGCTGTGTTTCTTGAAGGGATTTTGCACCTAAAAACCAGGTATTTTAAGCTAAAACATGATCTTTTGCTAACCATAACCATGTATTTTATTTCTCTAAACCCGAACAACATGTAACTCAAATGTAATCTGTGTTAGCAGAAATGTAAAATGCCAACATTTTTAGTGGTGATTTGGCTGTGGCGTGACATCTAGGTGGGGTGACTGCCAAGCTGCAACAAACAACAAAACTGGTTGTGTTTTAGTGACGTTGCTGTGTTTTCTGCCAGAATTAGGCCCCCAAAACTGGATGTTTTAAGCCAAAAGCTGATCTTTTCCTCACCATAACCAAGTCATTTTTGTGCCTAAACCTAACCACATATTAACCACAGCATTGTTAAAGTATAAAGTTTTAGCATATCGGCTACATAATAACATACAAATGTAACGTATCGTGGTTGCAGAAACATACAATGCCAACATGTATCCTGGTGATTATAATAATCATATACAGTACAGGCCAAAAGTTTGGACACACCTTCTCATTCAATGCGTTTTCTTTATTTTCATGACTATTTACATTGTAGATTCTCACTGAAGGCATCAAAACTATGAATGAACACATGTGGAGTTATGTACTTAACAAAAAAAGGTGAAATAACTGAAAACATGTTTTATATTCTAGTTTCTTCAAAATAGCCACCCTTTGCTCTGATTACTGCTTTGCACACTCTTGGCATTCTCTCCATGAGCTTCAAGAGGTAGTCACCTGAAATGGTTTCCACTTCACAGGTGTGCCTTATCAGGGTTAATTAGTGGAATTTCTTGCTTTATCAATGGGGTTGGGACCATCAGTTGTGTTGTGCAGAAGTCAGGTTAATACACAGCCGACAGCCCTATTGGACAACTGTTAAAATTCATATTATGGCAAGAACCAATCAGCTAACTAAAGAAAAACGAGTGGCCATCATTACTTTAAGAAATGAAGGTCAGTCAGTCCGGAAAATTGCAAAAACTTTAAATGTGTCCTCAAGTGGAGTCGCAAAAACCATCAAGCGCTACAACGAAACTGGCACACACGAGGACCGACCCAGGAAAGGAAGACCAAGAGTCACCTCTGCTTCTGAGGATAAGTTCATCTGAGTCACCAGCCTCAGAAATCGCAAGTTAACAGCAGCTCAGATCAGAGACCAGATGAATGCCACACAGAGTTCTAGCAGCAGACCCATCTCTAGAACAACTGTTAAGAGGAGACTGCGCCAATCAGGCCTTCATGGTCAAATAGCTGCTAGGAAACCACTGCTAAGGAGAGGCAACAAGCAGAAGAGATTTGTTTGGGCCAAGAAACACAAGGAATGGACATTAGACCAGTGGAAATCTGTGCTTTGGTCTGATGAGTCCAAATTTGAGATCTTTGGTTCCAACCGCCGTGTCTTTGTGAGACGCAGAAAAGGTGAACGGATGGATTCCACATGCCTGGTTCCCACTGTGAAGCATGGAGGAGGAGGTGTGATGGTGTGGGGGTGTTTTGCTGGTGACACTGTTGGGGATTTATTCAAAATTGAAGGCACACTGAACCAGCATGGCTACCACAGCATCCTGCAGCGACATGCCATCCCATCCGGTTTGCGTTTAGTTGGACGATCATTTATTTTTCAACAGGACAATGACCCCAAACACACCTCCAGGCTGTGTAAGGGCTATTTGACCAAGAAGGAGAGTGATGGAGTGCTGCGGCAGATGACCTGGCCTCCACATTCACCGGACCTGAACCCAATCCAGATGGTTTGGGGTGAGCTGGACCGCAGAGTGAAGGCAAAGGGGCCAACAAGTGCTAAACACCTCTGGGAACTCCTTCAAGACTGTTGGAAAACCATTTCAGGTGACTACCTCTTGAAGCTCATGGAGAGAATGCCAAGAGTGTGCAAAGCAGTAATCAGAGCAAAGGGTGGCTATTTTGAAGAAACTAGAATATAAAACATGTTTTCAGTTATTTCACCTTTTTTTGTTAAGTACATAACTCCACATGTGTTCATTCATAGTTTTGATGCCTTCAGTGAGAATCTACAATGTAAATAGTCATGAAAATAAAGAAAACGCATTGAATGAGAAGGTGTGTCCAAACTTTTGGCCTGTACTGTACATTGGTAGCAAAATAAGTTAATTAATCTTTTAAATCTGCATTTATTCATTTATTATCCATAACTGCTTATGCTTTAATGTCGCGGGAAGGCTGGAGCCTATCACAGCTGACGTGAATGGAGAGGCAGGGCTAACACAGACAACAATTCACCCTCACACTCACATCTACGGGCAGTTTAGTGTCACCAGATAACCGACATGTCTTTGGACTGTTGGAGGAAGCTGGAGAACCTGAGAACATCCATTCTGACACCAGGAGAACATACAAACTTGTCTTTAACATATAACATTTTCAGTGACTTGTGCATTGTTCTTTTTCAGTGGAGGAAGAAGAAATTAGATCCCTTACTGAAGTAAAAGTATAAATACCACACTGAAAACACTCCACTTCAAGTAAAACTCCTGCATTCAAAACCTCAGTTATGTAAATGTATGTAATCAATAAAATGTAGGCTACTTAAAGTACTAATAGTAAAAGTATGAATATTGCAGTAAAATGTTCCATGTTGTCAGTTTTTCTTTTCTATCCTATGTTTTTGGATTAATATTCCTGCTGCATTAATGTGTATGTGTCATTTTACTGCTGTACATGTTTAAGTTTGTGTTCATTTTAACTCCTTAATAAACTGTTGGGTAGTTTAATCTATATCAATGCATCATATTCTATAAAGTCATCATATGTTTGTAGCGTGGCTGTCCTGTGAGAAACATATATCTAAAAAGTAAGAAAAACAGCCCTGTTTTCAGTTTTGTGATGATGTGTTTTCCAGCTGATCTAAGAAGGGTTTTAAAGAGTTTATATAGCATAAGAAGCAGGAGAATTTTTCTCAACACATAAAGGAACAATTCATTCTTCAGTTTATCAAAAACATTCAACATCAACACATCTGGAGATACATAGTTTTCAGAGGAAGGAGGTGACAAACAAATGCAGAGAAAGTACAATATCTGTCTCTTCGGTGTAGTGGAATAGCAGTATTAAGTTGCATTAAATGGAAATTCAAGTATATGAATTTGCACACATACATTCCATCACTTCTTTTTGGCAGATTTAATTCAATCTCACATATTTGCTATCTTTCATAACTGGAATCTGAGCTACAAGTAAAAGCTCCATTGATCCAATTCATAACACACATTTAACGCATTACTACCTCACAAAATTATGGCAAACATGTTAGCAAACAGCTGTCAACAGTGTGGGTTTGTACATGTGATATTGTCAGTGTAAGTAAAGTTTTTTTTTTTTTCCTAAAGCTATTACAATCTAGAGAAATAAAAATCACAGTCAGTGAGGTTAAAATCTGGGATGAATAGATGTTCTTTTAAAAACAAATTTTGGCATGTTAGCTAAGATTGAAAAGTGTTGGGACAATTTATCAGAACTATTTTCCAAGCACTACAATGATGAGTCAGGAATGATTCTATATGATCAGTATGTATGATTTCTGGTCTCAGCACATATCTAAGTTTCGGATCCTGAAAGCAGCTGGATGAGCCTGAAACAGATGGGACCACTCATCATCTCCTGAGTGGGTGCTGATAACAAGAGGATCAAATTCCCATTGCACCATGTTATCACTCCTGTTGGCCGTCTGTGGCACTAAAAGCTTGTTGCAAACGTTTCCAAATTCAAT